CTAGGAAGTAAGCCTATTAGCTCCAAGTAAAAAAAAAAAAAAAAAAGATGTATGTAGCCTAATAACCACATCTGAAAAATAACCACATTTGAAAAATCTAAATTTTGGGGTGGACTGCTTTGTCACTTGTACATTCATGTATATCCAAATGCCAATGAGTGCTCATGATGTCTGCTGTCAGTACAAAATGAATATGACAAAATACTTTCATTGTTACTCCTCCAAACAGCTTCTTCCTTCTACACCATTATTTACCAAGTTCTACAGCCTTCTGCAAGGCTCACAGCTTCTGAATGATTTCCCATTCCCTCTTTCCTCCGCACACATCCATAAATTCCTGATGGCATTTTCTGTTTGTTAACTCAAAAATATGACTCTCTCCTTAGTCCTCTTGTCAAGGTGAGGAAAAAAAAAGCACAGGCTACTTTATCCAACCATTTCCTCTAACCTTCCCAATTTCCTTACTAGTTCCTTCTAGTGTATTGAAAACTCAGTAATTAATCTTCATTTACTGTTCATCCATGTCATTCTCCTTCAAACTCCTTCACTGCTTTCCTCCCAATGTTGAGTTACATTTCTTGCCCTCATCTTCATAATCCTGATCCTGCCAACATCTTAGGTATTTGCAGTGTTGTCATTATAAGAAGGTTCTATTAAAATATATTGAAGACTAAAGAAGGGTAATTAAGTTACTGGTATCCTTGAAATCTCCATGTTGCAAGAGATCTAGAGCTGGAAATGACCTCAGTGGCTTATCTAGTGCATCCTCCAGCTCTAAGGCAGGATTCTCATGCCTAGACTATCCCTGAAAGATGTCTGCTTACTCCAGGTTTGGGCAAAATATGGCCTGAGGTCCAGATTTGGTCCACCAAGGAGTTTTGTTCAGCCTGTATGGGTTCGTCAGCCCCGGCGTGGGGGGGAAGCCCAGGCTGTGGTGCATGCAGCTGGATCCACTACCCCCAGGCACATAGCGGGGCTGGGGCAGCACAGCAGCCAGACTCACTTCCCAGCAGCCCCTGCAGTGGCAGCTCCTTCCACCTGTCACTGCCTGTCTTTACAGTCACCACTAGACCTGGCTCTGCTGCCCAGGCCCTCAGCCCATCCATCCTGCACCCACTGCTAGAGGCGCTGGAAGGAGTGGGTGGGTGTGGTCTCCATGGACATCAGCCTGGGGCCTGTGTAGGCAGGGGAATGTGGTCAGGTGGATGGGATGGGGCCACAGGTGGATGGGAAGCAGTGTCTGGGAGCAGACAGGTGGAGCTGGGATCAGGATTGTGGGGCAGTGACAGGGTAGAGCTGGGACTCAGGTAAGTGCCACGATCCAGTGCCCTCATGTCCCTGAAGTGGGCGCTGGTTCCACAGGCAAGGACATGCAGGAAGCAGATGATGGCTCTGCCCCACATCCCAGCCCTGTGCTCCCAATCCTAGCCCCAGCCTCACCCATCTATCCCAATCCTAGATGCCACTCTCTACATGCCCACAGCCTCATCCCATTCACCTGGCCACATGCCCTGCCTGAGTCCTGGGCTGGTCTCCATGGAGACTCTTGGGATCACTGAGTAGTGACAGCATGGGGCCAGGGCTGTGATACACTCCCCACGTGTCTCTGTCCTCAGAACCCGTGCCTGTCCTAGGGACGTGTGGGGAGAGGATCAGAGCTCTGCCCCGGGCCCATACTGTCACCAGCCCATGAACCCAATCCCAGCCCCGGCTCTGGTCCCCGCACCCATCCTGCTCCCGGTTGCCACCTCCTGCCCACCCACCCACAGCCCCACCCCATCTGCCTGGCAGAGTTTGGGACAAAGCCTCTAAGGGAGTTTTGATGAGCTGTTGCAAGCAGGGAGGCAGTGCTGACCCAGCCCTTGACAGCTCACCAAAACTCCAAGTGGCCCTCTAGCCCATATAATTGTGCACCTCTGATCTAGCTTATTTTCAAAAACAACCAGCAACAGAGAAACCTAAATCATCTTTGCTGCCTCTTCTTGGCCTACATTTAACTGTCATGAAAAACACCTACCTGATCACAACAGTTGTCCATATAATAATACTTTCCATATTTGACAACAGTTACGTCTCTCCCCAGTCTTCCTTTATTCTAGACTAAGTAACCCAATTTTTTAAATCTTTTCTTATGTGTCATGTTATCAAAATACCTCAACATTCTTCTTGCTGCCTACCAGATTCCAATAAATCAATATTTGTCTTGAACTATGGCATCCAAGATTGAACACATTACAGGCAACCCCCACTTAACGTGGTTTCAGTTACTGCTGTTTCGCTATAGCGCACATTTAGAATTAATATCCGATTCAGCTGAGCACTCAGGCATTTTGATTACAGTGCTCAGTGGAATCCGAGTTTCTGCAGGCAGGGAGAAGCGGTGGTGGCAGCAAGTGGAAGGTAAGTGAGTGGGCGGGCAGGCAGGCATGAGGGCCTAGGGCAGGACGGCAGAAGCATGGGCCCAGCCTGGTACATGGTGCCAGTGCGGGGGGAGAAAGCGGCAACAACAGAGGCAATTAGCCCAGGGTTTGCACCAGTGCCTGAGGCCAGGGCCAGTGGGGGCTGGTGTCCAGAGCGGGGCAACAGAAGCACAAGTCCGGGCTGGTACATGGGGCTGGAGTGCCAGCAAGCAGGCAGGGAAGTGGGGAGAGGTGGCAGCAGGGCAGGCAATAACCAATTAATCTCTATTTACTTTCACTTTTATGGGTAAATGGGTTTTGCTTAGCACAGTTTTGCTTAGCGCCTGGTTTTTCTGGAACTAATTAAGAACGCTAAGCGGGGGTTGCCTGTCTTCCACATGCATACATCATATATAGCCAAGAATATCTATATACATCCAGGTGTAAACCATACTAAATGTATCACATGAAGGATCAGGAAGGATATTATTGTCCTCCAAGCAGTACTGTACCACTTGAAGGGTTTCATATTTTCATAGTTAGTAGGGTCGGAAGACACCTCATAGCTTAAAAATTCAAACAGTCAAGGGACAGTAGTCTTCCTTGAAGCATCAGATAATGGCCAAAATAGATGCATCAACTGTCAGTTTTGATACAGCAAATCATATTACCTTACAGGAATGCTTTAAATTCAATTTCATTGACTAGTTTGTACACATTAGCAGTTTCACTCTCCAAAAATTACAAAATTAGTCAACTCACCGAAGCATCTTCAGCTCCTGAGCAGCCTTCAGGATTATTTCATGTTGTCTTTGACTAAGGACCATTACTCCCCCTAGTGATTGGTCAGGGTCCATAGTTGAATCTGCTTCCAACATGTCTGAGGAACGTGATGGTGGAATGGGTAAATCTAGCTGATCCTCCAAAGGTTGCATTCTTTCTTCTTCATCAGCATACCACCTCTCCGACAATCGTTCTCTCTCCCAATCAGTCCTTTCAGGAAGGTAGTTTCGCTTCTCCCTCCATCTGTCAACTCTCTCTGGGTATTCTCGGATTCTCAACTCCCCCCTGTCTCGACGGTCCCTGTCATATAAATCTCTGTCCCTCTCCTCCCTCCACCGGTCCTCATGGTATCTGTCCAAAGGTGGAAAGGACTGCATGGGTGGGAGAGGGGGAATATCCAGATCACGACTTGGTATCTCTCTGTCATCTGGAGGCATCAAATAATCTCCGTCCCATTCTCTATCTAACTCACGATCATAACTATCCATGGATCTTCCAATCCTGTCCAGGTCTCTATCCATCTCTCTCTCTCTTGGCCTTTCCCAATCATCCCACCAAGGGTCTCGTCTGTCAAAATCAGAAGACAAAGGAGGGAGTGGAGGAAGAGGTGATAGCGGAGGCATTGAATGATGGAGTGAGAACCTGTCATCTCTATCATAGGGGTCCAAGGAATCATCCCGAAAATTTGTGTCATGCTCTCTCCAATATCGATCTCTTTCCCAATCATCTACTAGTTCACAGTCTAGAGGAGCATCTCTACTATCCAATGGTAGTTCTTCTTGCATTCTCTCTTCTTCATGGCTCCATGGACCCCTGAGAGGCTCCTCTCGATGGTATGGGGGAAATTTCTCAGAGCTGTCACCCAGGCGTTTATCCATACCACCCATTTCAGACCTGCCTGGTTCCCTCTCCCAGCTACCTGCCCGCCTAACTAGGCCTCGTTCCCGGCTAGCTGTCTGCCTGACAGGTCCCCCATCTCCGCTTCCTGCCCTCCTCATAGGTTCCCCATCCCGACCTCCTGCCCATCTCATGGGCCCTCCATCCCGGCTTCCTTCCCGTCTGAAAGGGCCCCGCTCACGGCTATCTGCTCGCCTGACTAGCTCCCGCTCATGGCTACCTGCCTGTCTGACAGGACCTTGCTCTCGGCTAGCTGCTTGCCCCCTATCCTTGTTGCCTGGTCGACCAGCTAGCTCTCTATCTCGGCTAGACAACACCCTCTCTTGGCTGTCTGACCTCCCTATGAATCCCCTCTCTCTGCTGCCCGAGTGCCCATCTGGCAATCTCTCCCGGCTGTCTGAACGCTCGTCTGACAACCCCTCCTGGCTGCCTGCATACCTATCCGACAACTTATCCCAGCTGTCTGCTGCCATGGCCATGCCTCTGCCACGGATGGTTGCCTGTCCCATGCCTCTGTTTGCTTGTCCTCTGCCACGGACATTGTCCATTCTGCCCAATCCCCTGCCATGGCCATAGTCCATTCTACCCTGGCCATCGTCCATTCTGCCCATCCCCCTGCCACAGCTATCATCCATTCTGCCCATCCCCCCGCCATGACCATCGTCCATTCTGCCCATCCCCCTGCCACAGCCATCGTCCATTCTGCTGTATCCCCTGCCACGACCATCGTCCATTCTGCCCATCCCCCTGCCACGACCATCGTCCATTCTGCCATATCCCCTGCCGTGGCCTTCCTCCATTCTGTCCATCCCCCTGCCGTGGCCTTCCTCCATTCTGCCCATCCCCCTGCCGTGGCCCTCCTCCATTCTGCCCATCCCCCTGCCGTGGCCCTCCTCCATTCTGCCCATCCCCCTGCCGCGGCCTTCCTCCATTCTGCCCATCCCCCTGCCGCGGCCTTCCTCCATTCTGCCTTGACCTCTGCCCCGGCCATCATCCATTCTGCCCTGGCCCCTGCCCCTGCTTACTGGTCCGGTGCCTCTATTACTTTCTGACATAACTGGGCCTTTTACTCTGTTTTCTGGTCCAGGCAGATCTTGCCCCAGGGTGCTATCTGAAACAGGCAATTTATTATCTGCACAATTCAAGTCTTTATCTCCTGGTACAGGGGATGGAGTCACTATTGTTGTTTCTCCTGTTCTTGATGGAACAGCAGACTGCAAAATTGTAGAACTACTGGGAACAGATGCTGGTTTTTGGCTTTGTGTGGATGGAGGCTGAGTGGTTGGTTTGGACTCTTCTACTCGCTGTGCTGGATCCTGAGAACTCCAAGTCCACTTTTTAGGCTCTGAAATGACTTCTTTTACTTCGGATTTGGGTGGTTCCTGTTGCATTTTTTTCAAGTCCTCATTTGGCTGGACTGGACCAGAGTTCTTTGCATCTGTATCAATGGGAATTGGAGTAGACTGAGTTCTATTTGCCATCTGTTGTTTTCCAGCAGCATCAGTAAAAGGTTCTTTGTTTTCAGTCCGGGACTCTGCTTGTAGCTGCTGTTGTCCAAAAGAAGGCCTGGGACCCCTGCACTGGGGCCCACTTGGTCGGGTACTGTGCATCTGTGATGTAGTTGGGGTAGTATAAAACTGTGATGCTGGGCCACGTGGGATAGTCCCCCATTTGCTTGAAGACTGTCCATCTGATTTTTGATTTTCGTATCTTGGTTTTGGACCTTCCAAGTGCTGGCCTTCAAAACGAGGCCCTCTTTGTCTTGGCCCTTCAAATCTCTCAAAACCTCTTCCTCGAGGTCCATCAAACCTACAGGAAAACAAGAGGCATTTTATTAAAAAGAACCAATCAGGTAAGAAATCTCTAGATGACACTTCCAAGTTATGAAGTCACTTTCATAAAGAAGAAGGGTTCCTTATGAACAACTCTCATTGAACCGTAACAGAAACACAAATCAATACTCTTCAACTGTACAGTGCATAACTGACTGATTCAAACAATTTGCAGAATCTGAAATCTCCAGCAAGCAATGCCAGATACAAAGCTACAAAATAATCATTGTAATGCCCTCATGCTATACCCCCACACGCAGTTACATTCTTTACTGTTTCACATAATCAGGTGGCACTATTCATTTAGACTTCAAGGAAAATTCTGCCCTGACAATGTGAGAGTAGCGGCATTTTAACCATTTCAGCAATGTCATTTAAGAACAAGTGGCAGGTATAACACTCAGCCATGGAGACTAGTCACCACAGGAAAATATATCAGTCTGGAAACCAAATATATTAAGAAAACTTATGTCTAAATCCCTGTACTAGACTGACACCTAGATGATCAAGGTTCTATTTCTAGCTCTCTATGTGACAATAGGCACATTACAGTTCCTCTCTCCCCTGATTCAATATCAGAAATATTATTATATCCCTCTGTTTATGCTTTTATATCTTTTTAAAGCCATGTTAGAGTTATGTAACACCAAACACATGCACAAAAAGGCATGCATTTTTACTAAGTACTATTATTCTAGGAAACTTAACTTCAGTAGTGATACTGGCAAATCCAGGAACAAGGTAATGGGTGTACACCCCCACAACACACACAACTTTAACTGTGCTGGGTATGTACAGTGAGCTCTTAGTTTGCTGCCCAGTCAGTGTGGGCTCCTGTTGGAGCTCTGGGTGGGGAGCAAGCTGTAGTTCACCACCTAATCAAGCCAGGGTCTGGCCAGGGCCCCTGCTTTTCATATGGCCCAGAGCCTGAATGCTGCTGCTCTTCATCCTTCCTCTCCCCATGCCCCCAATTCAGCAGCAAGGGAAAGGAGGGAATAGCTATGATGGCAGTACTCATCCCCTGGGTTCTAGACCAGAGCAAAAGCACAGGCTCTTGCCAGACCCCATGCCAAGAACTCACACATGGCACAGCCAAAAGGGGTACAACCACACCATTATGCCCCCTCTGGATCTACCTGTGGTCATATTGGAATTCTGCTTTGAAAATAGCACTGCATGGAACAGCCTAGAAAGCAGCTAGAATTATTTCACACTAAACCAAGTTAAAGACAAAGTCTCAAGCTGTGGCTCCAGTTTTCAGTTTCTTCAACAGTAAAAGTAGCTGCAGTTTAGGATCCAAACTGATTTTTTTTTCCTGATTTTACTACCATGCAACTTACTGGCTCCAAGGCAGTAACTGTAGTTGGAAACCTGCCTGAACTTCTTTCACAGTGTATACATTATAATATTATCAAGTGCATGTACTCTAATTTTGCTTGTATATGACCTTTAAATATTTCTAGAGCAGCTGTTCCCAGACTGTGACCCAAGGATCACAATCAGCATAGTACTTGCAGAGGGTTTACAAAGAGATATTTCATCATCCCATGCAGGCTTTTCTCTTGGTGTCTAGCTCAGGGGTCAGCAACTTATGGTCCACAGGCCAGAACCAATGCACAGAGGCAGTGGATCCAGTCTGTGGTACGAGGACTTTGATGGTGGTACAGGAGGTTTCAACTGTGCCATTCTACAGCTCAGCAGCTGCACAGCTTTACCCATGCCATGCCATGGACAGGTGATAGGGAGAAGTGGCTGGAAAATGTTGCCAAACTCTGTTTTAGCTGCATTAGAAGAAATTAAGAATACATTAAATATTTTAATGCACCTCTTCCATGGAAGCAACAGCTGGAATTGTAAAAGGGATGGTATGTGCTTGAGAATGAGAAAAGAGCAGCATACCTGACAATCTCACTAGAAAACGCAATCTGTCCTAGGTAATGCCCAAGTGCAAAGCATGCTTCTCTGACCTTTCTTGCAGTAAGGTAAAAACAGAACACAGGGCACTTCTCTCAAACAAACAAACAAACAAACAAAGCACACAACACTGCACACAAGTCCCTCTACACTTAGGAGAGAACAAGAATGAAGCATGGGACAGACCTTCTATCATTAATACATTACTGAGAGGCAACCAAGTGCTCAAGTGATGTGTGAAGAATAACGTGTATAGAATGGAATGTGTAGAGGAGGCTTACCTAGGACCTCTTGGTCCTTCAAAGTACGGTCCTCTTGGAGGGTCTGGAAGCAATCCACCTGATCTCAGAGGTTTATCTTGAGTGAAGGTAGTGATGGAGGTGGTGGGTGTAAGTGTTGAAGTTACTGTGGAGGTTTTCAATTCCCCAGATCCTTGCTCAGATGAAACTGAGGCAAATGGCCCAGACTGTTTAGCCATGTGAACTTGAGTGTTTCCTTGGTCCGAAGAGGCAATAGATGAAGTTATCTGAGAATGATACGGTGAAGCTGCAGCTAAGCCAGATACTTTAGGTGCAAATGAAACAGGAGTGGGAAGTAGAGCTGGCCTTGGTGTCTCAGTGGACTGGGTGCTCTGAGAACTAGATGTTGGGGGAATGGATGAATTTGGCATTTGAGAACCAGAAGACAGGGGTGGAGGAACCTGTGGAGGTGTTGTGGGAGGCAAAGTTGGAGGCATAACAGGAATGCTTGTTTGAGGGTATGAAACAAATGGAGGTGGCATTGTAACACTTGCAGGGTACTGATTCTTCATGTTCTGAAGTGAATTTACTTTCTCCTGCAAATGGGATTGAGTAGCTTTCATCTGTCCCTGCCATGTTTGCCATTGTTTCTCATATTCCTGAAGCTGATCTTTGTGAGGATAGGTCTGGAGCTGATCCTGCCATTGCTGGAATTCACGCTCCCATTCTTTATGCAGTTGCTGGAACTGTTTCTGCTGTGTCTCATAATGTTGCAGCTGCATATCCACTGACATTGTCTATAACAAAAAAATGGAAATTACTGCAGAATACAATTTAAGATCCTGCTGGGGCTATGTTTTTTAATATTACCCTACATCATAATTTCTGACTCGGGGAAAAAGCTCGAGAGCCGAGCTAAGCAAAAACAAAAGCAAACATAACCTTTGGCATCTAAAATATATTTGTGACATTCTGCTGTCTCCAACTTACAAGTTTAATTGCTGGAAGATGACATCACCTCTCATACAAAAAGCCCAACCGCCTAGGGGATGAGGGGGAAGGAAAGCATACTTAATAAAAAAGTTACTCCTGCAATCAATGTAACTATTTAGAGCTCTGGTTGTGATTATTTTCTCTTTCTAAATTCCAAATTAATCAATCACTAAAATATATGTAATGCATGGTCCTGTTTCATCAGCTTGTCAATTTATTTCTCTGGGTAGATAGCAGCTCACATTAAAGCAGACATTTTCTGCATACTTAGGAACTGTATAAACTGCAGTAGTTTTCTGAGTCTAATTTGATTACCTTACAAATAAAGAACAATCTTTTCTTAAACTTTTGATAACTAGTGAATTATTTGTGCTGTGGTAGTGTCCAGGAATCCCACTCAGGATTCAGGACTCATGACTATAACTGCTATTTTTTTTTTTTTTTTAAACCCACTCATAATAGACACGGTGTTTTCCAATGAGCAGGGCTCTGAAGTGGGCCTCAAGAGACCTGAATTCTATTCCTGATTCTGTTACTAACCTGCTGGGACACCTTGATCTCTCCATAAGCACTCAGCACATGTTTCTCCCATTACTCCTTGTCTAGTCGAACTAACACATTTAGACTGCAAGCTTTTGCATACAGGGACCATCTCCCACTATGAAAACGTACAACCCTTAAGCCAGTGATTCTCAACCTTTTTTGACTCAAGTCACCCCTTGGAAAATGCCAGACCTTAGTTTTCACTTGTCTTTTGACTACAGAAAAATAATAGAGTTATTCTTCTATTGCAAAGAACTCAGAAAGACCATAACAGGTCAGAACATTTTTAATATTACGGATTCCTATTTGCAATCTCTGGGTATTTTGTGTCAATCATGTTTGCATACCTAACAGTGCTAACATTGTGCAACACGCCTTGAAAGGATCTCAAGGCATCCCAGAGGGCTGCAATATCTTGGTTGAGAATCACTGCCTTAGACCTTTGGCAGAGAATCACCATTTTATACCTCAATTATACTTTTAAATTATACCTAATTTACTTTTTAAATAAGAATAAAAAAGGACCCATGCCACAAAGAAGTTGGAAACGTACAGGTCCCACAACCCCACAACAATCGCCTTTGTCATGCAACTGCTCTCCGTCAAGCCCAGGTACCCATTTTTAGAGATGTTGATTATTTTCTGTCTTCCTACTACTTTATATTGATAATACAAATCCTGAGGTAGACTATCACAATTAGTTGCATTTTATCTACACGTTTTTATTTTTGACATTCTTGCATTATCATTTTTAACATGTGGGAACAAATGATGCGGCCCGGAGTAGTCTGGGACGGGTCATGGCTGACTACATGGCTCTAGTAGACAGGCTTAGAGGTTCAGGGGCACAAGTAGTCCTCTCATCAGTCCTCCCAGTCAGTGGTCGCAGCCAGCACCACAGCAACTGCACTGGGGAGGTCAACTCATGGCTCTGGAGTTGGTGCCACCATGCAGGGTTCAGCTTTCTAGACCATGATCCGTACTTCCAGAATAGGACCTTGCTGGGTCGTGACAGTCTACATCTCGCTCCAAAATGTAAGAGTCTGTTCTCTTACAAGTTGGCAGACCTCCTATGTAGAGCTTTAAACTAGCTTCACTGGGGGACGGGGATGACGAAGCTAGGATGAGACCGGGGAAGACAGGCCACGAACCGCATGCTGAACTGATCAGATAAGTACTAAGGGGGTCACTAAGAAACAGGATAGGGGAGTACTAAGGACACCTACTGGGGGGCTTAGGTGTCTCTATACTAATGCTAGAAGTATTGGTAACAAGCAGGAGAAATTTGCACTCCTGCTTGCAGACAAAGATCTCGACCTGATTGGACTAACAGAAACCTGGTGGGACCTTTCCCACAACTTGGAAGTGGGCATTAAGGGCTACAGGCTATACTGGCAGTATAGATTGGAGGATAAAGGGGGGGCATTGCTCTATACATCAGGGAACATTATACATCTTCTGTAATAAAGATGGGGACAGAAGAAGGACAAACTGAAGTTCTATGGGTCAGATTATAAGGGGTGAAAGGGACTTGATAGTGGGGGTCTACTATAGACACCCACACCAGAATGAGGAGTTAGACCTAGAATTCTCAAAACAGCTCTCAAAGGCAGTACACTCAAAGGACCTAGTGGTCATGGGTGACCTAAATTACCCAGACATCTGCTGGGAGGAGCAGTCAGCCAGGTCTGCCCGTTCCCGTAGGTTCCTAACCTGCATACAGGACATGCACCTAACACAGGAGGTATGCAGTCCCATTAGGGGAAATGCCATACTTGACTTGGTGCTGGCCACAGGGGAGGACTTGGTGGGGGATCTACAGGTACAAGGTCACCTAGGGGACAGTGACCACCAGTTGATAGGATTCACTATCCGGTGAAAAGTGGGAAAGACAAGGCAGGAGTGCTAAACTTCCAGAAGGCCAACTTCAACAAGCTCAGGAGATTAGTTAGAGTGAGACTAAGGGGTAATCACATCTGTGAGTTGGGAGTCCAAGAAGGGTTGGTGTTCCTCAAGGGACTGATCTTGCAAGCACAGAGGAGCACCATCCCAGTTCACACAAAGAGGGGCAAAAGAGCCAAAAAACCTTCTTGGCTAAACAGGGAAATCCAGGAGAGCCTTCACAGGTAAGAGAGGCTTACAGGCTGTGGAAGCAGGGGGTGGCCACCAAGGAAGAGTACACCTGCTTGGCTCGTGTTTGCAGGGAAGCAGTGAGGAAGGCCAAAGCAGATACTGAACTCAAGTTTGCAACAAAGATTAAGAGTAACAAAAACCTGTTCTTTAAGTACATAGGGAGCAAGAAGGCGGCATGGGGTAACATAGGACCTCTACAGAATAGTCTAGGGCAGCTTGTAACAGACAGGATGGATAAAGCAGAGCTTTTCAATGACTTCTTTGCATCTGTGTTCCTGGACACAGATACAAACATACTTCCCAGTAAGACTTTAGTCTGGTGTGAGAGAAATACCAATCCGCCTACAGTTAGCACTGACCCAGTGAAGGAGCACTTGGAGGGGTTGGACATATTTAAGTCTGCAGGCACTGATGATCTTCACCCAACGGTACTAAAGAAATTGGCTGGTGTCATAGTGAAACCACTGGTGCAACTGTTTGAGCACTCGTGGCACTCGGGACAGGTCTCAGAAGACTGGAAAAGGGCCAGTTGTGGTCCCTATTTTCAAGAAGGGACCTATTTTTACGATCAGATCACCAGATCATTAGATGCAGGGGTAGCAGTGGACATAGTCTTCCTGGACTTCCGGAAGGCTTTTGACACTGTCTCTCACCCCGTTCTCATTAAGAAACTGGGGGGCTGTGGCGTAGACACCCACACAGTCAAATGGGTCGCCAACTGGCTGGAGGGCCACACCCAGAGGGTGGTAGTGGATGGGTCCTTCTCAACCTGGAAGGACGTGGGCAGTGGGGTTCCGCAGGGCTCAGTCCTTGGGCCCGCACTGTTCAACATCTTCATCAGTGATTTGGACGAGGGGGTAAAAAGCACCCTGTTCAAATTTGCTGATGACACTAAGATGTGGGGGGACGTGGGCACACTAGAAGGAAGAAGCAGGCTACAATCGGACCTAGACAGGTTACAAGGGTGGGCGGATGAGAATAGGATGGGTTTCAACACAGACAAGTGTAAGGTGATGCACCTGGGGAGGAACAACCGGCACCATACCTACAGGTTGGGGAACTCCCCTCTTGTCAGCACAGAGGCAGAAAAGGATCTTGGAATCATCACTGACTCCAAGATGAACATGGGTCGGCAGTGTGGGGAGGCAGTTAGGAAGGCCAACCGTACCTTGTCATGCATCCACAGATGCATTTCAGAGTGCCATTTGGGGAAGGTGAGGGCTTAATTTGTGGCCTGCCTGCCAGAAAGGTTGGCACCCACTACTTAACATCATTAACAAAGCAAATATACCCAGTACAATGTCCTCACAGACTGACCTGTAGGTGGGGAGGCTGCTGTATGATCTGTTGATACTGCTGTAGGATCTGTTGCAGCTGTGCATGCTTCTGCATTATTCTCTGATACTGAAAGCCAACTCGATGGTGTGGATGCTGCTGCCACTGTGCTGCTGCCACCTGCAACTGCTGCAACCTCAAGTCTTCCTCAGAGTCTTCAGGAGGTTCAATATTCAGCTAAGGAGATAACTAAATAGTATAAGGGAAAGCTCATTCAAGCACAACAGATAAACAATGGGTCACAGGCCCAATTCACAGAAGTTTCAGGTCAGTTCATAATTCTGTGACCCTGCATTTCAGTGTTCTGCCCTTGCATGGCACTGCCAGGAGGTGTCTGTTGTCTTCATTCAAATGGATACTTCAAGAGAAAAAACAAGTTTGTGAGAATTTGCCCATTTTAAAAGTCATTAAGCATGTTGGCAGAAAGGATTTCACTCCATTCTTTAGTATTATCTCCAAAGGTTTAGAGTGGAAAACAAGATTACCATTCTCCTTTCCAGCACACAACTGGAACATAACATATATACCAATTAGAAGAAGGAATTATGAAGTAAATCAAACTCCAACCTGTCCCAAAATTCAGATGTGATCAGGCCTGGGGTATGAAGCTCAGAAACTTGCACTCTTTCACAGTTTTCAGGTTGGCTACTTTAGATTGAATCTGGGATATTAGCTTGGGCTAGTCTTGTGACTTCAAAGGAAAAAGGTGCTAATACCATCACTCCTGACAAAACTGTGACCAATAGTTTGTCTCTGAAAAAAGATTTCTCTAAGTTCCCAAACCTGCCAGCACAGAAGAATATGGGCAAACAGGCTGGTCCTGCCAAATTAAAAAAGCACTGATAGACGGTACAGTTTAGTATATAAGCAAGACTTGGACTCAAATTCCAAGCCCCTGGGCTATTGGAGGATCTTGGAAAGTCATCTCCTCAAATATAAAATGGGAGATACTGGACACTTCTGCAAAATGCTTGAGACCTGTGAATGAAAGATGCTGAGTAAAAGCCAGGCAATATAGGAGGGACTATTATTAAGGTTTTCCAACCTTTTCAATTTAAGACCCTGATTTTAGCTGCTTTTAACTTTGCCAAAATGTAAGCATTATATTTTCAGTACTGGGTGTCTGCCCCAAGAAAAATCTTCTGGAAAACTTCTTTTATCCATTTTTTAAAAGCTCTAGTACCCCCTGTGCTCTGAAGACTTGAAATTTATTAGGCAAGTAGCCTCTGTATCAAATGAGTGTCTTTTGTATTCCTTGAGAACTGCTCAAAGTTAGCTAAGTTAGAAGTCTTTGAAAAATGACAGTTCACACACGTTCATAGTAAGGCTTAACGGCAACAATCTCCTAGGATTCCATTCTTACTTAACATGCTCAGACCTTTACTCCTAGCACAGACCAATTTGCATATGTTATTCCTTAGAACAGAGCTGTTTAACTTCTGGGAGGCCAGGGACCACATACTAAGTGAGCAGCACACCCCCCAAGGTACACACTGGGCATCACAGACTCCTTCCATCTACAGCACAGGTGCTTTCCCACAGGAGCCATGCAGGGTCCTGACTGCCCAAGGAGCTCCCTACCACTGCAGGCTCCTTGGGCCCCACAGGCCACGCAGCCCTGCCCCACCCCCAGGGACAGGGACAAGAAATGGAGGCTGATGAAGAGAGGGAGAGCTCAAAGACCCCCAACGCAGTAACAGAAGAACAAACGATGCCCAGGCTGGGAGGCCAGGGGCCATGAGCTAACCCTCCACAGGCCACATCTGGTCTGCAGACCACAAGTTGGACGGCTCTGTAGTAGAGTAACTGCACATATACCATTCCCTCACAGCTCCTACGTATGACTGGATAGGACACGATCTCCATGAGAGCAAATGAGGATACTCTAATGCAGAAAATCCTATTCCAGGGTGTGCAGGAGCGGATGAGCAGACGGGGCCCGAGGCACGTGGGGCGGGAGCACTCGCGGTAACAGATTGCCCACGGCCCTGGAGGGCAGGGTACTCCCTTACCAGATTCAGGTGGGGCCGGCCCGGGCAGCTTATAGCAGACGCTGGAACCCGGGAGGAGGAAGCAGAACCAGAAGAGCTGGCTCAGGAGACGGCTGCCGGCAGGAGCATGGGGCAGCGGATGCACGGCGGCGCGCGCTGCACCCGCACATTTTGGGGCAGTGGTAAGACCCCGAGGGACGGGGCGATTTGGGGCGGTAGCTCCAGAAACTAAGAGGGCAGCAAGAGAGCTGGGAGCATCTGGCACCGGCAGAGAGGGCCAAGCGGCAGGATACCCCAGTGGGCGGGGCAGGCAGACGGGATAGCCCTGCTCTAAGGCTGAGACAACGGGCGACCCCGGAAGGAAAGGGGACCCAGACAGACAGAGGGCCCTACGAAGGGAAGGAAGATTGGATTGTAGAGCGGAGAAGACGGACCCTGTTAAAAGCGAACACAGGAGTCCGAAGTCCACAGCCCTGGGCGGGAGCGATATTTGTGTTTAATTTTTGCTATTTTTGTTGAGGTGACACCCCTCGGAGGGAGAGGTGGATCACTAAAGCGGCCACGCCTGCCACGGACAGATACGGAGGCCCAGGCGAGGGTGTAGGGGTGGAGGAGCCCTCAACAGTGACGGACCTGCGCAACTCAATGTCTCATTTTTGGACCGGCACGCGTCGGACTATACACTGAACCGGAGAATCATCAAAGTCATGGCAGGTGGGTTGGACGCGTGTGGCGCTGGAGTGAGTACTCTATATTGCCAGGGAACCAGCGGAGCTTTCTTAGAGCAAAGGGGACAGATTGACACATCCACATTTGGTGCATTGGCCGGGAAATCTCGGCAGCGGCCTTCCTAGCATAGTGTAGAGGAATAATGGAGCACCAGGCAGACGTGGCTGGAACAGAACCTTTGCACCAACTAATGACTTTGATGGTACAGGTATTACAACAACAACAACAACAACAGAAGAATATGCGCCAAACCACCTTGCAGGAGCATCTGGTCCAGCAGCAGGTATGGACGCAAAAGGGATATACGGAATGGCAAATGCCAAAGATGACCCCGGAGGACGACCCAGAGGCCTTCCTAGAGATCTTTGAGAGAGCCACTATAGCGGCTGCAGTGGAGAAGGCTAAATGGGCGGGGCAGTTAGGTACACTATTGATCGGGCAGGCTCAGGCTGCGTACAGAGCCATGACTAGAGGGGACGCGGTAGATTACGATAAGGTGACGGGGGAAATACTGCGCCGGCTGGACATTACCCCAGAGAGGTACCAGCAAGCCTTTAGGGAAAGGAAAGCAAGTGAAATGAAAACCCCAAGGGTGTTGTGGCAGGCCTTAGTAGATCTGCTGAACAAATGGTTAAAACTCGAAACAAATTCTAAGGAACAGATTTTTGATCAGATCCTCATGGAGCAATTCATTAATAACTTAGAAGACGATACCAGGAATTGGGTAAGATGCAATTGTCCGGCCTCCTCTCATGAGGCGCTACAGTGGGCAGAACAATACGACACGGCCCAAGGAGATCGACGTAGAAATAAAGGGACAAAAGGGACTGATACCCCCGTGAAGCGGGGCATAGAAAATAAAGGTAGCAGAAAGGGGATTTCCCTGGACCCTATCTGTTTTGCATGTGGGAAAAGAGGGCATTTTGCCCGGGGTTGCCCCCAGGAGATACGAGCCGGCACGTCTAAGGACAGGGAGCCACAGGATAACCGCCCGAGACTGGGAACCCTGCCAGAGGTGGAATCAATGGACTGTGGAATAGGAAGTCACAGCGGGGAGAAAATCCAACCGTTACCTGAAGTACAGGCGTGGGTTGAAGGGGTCCCCATTCAAGCAGCGGTGGACACGGGCTGTGCCCAATCGTTAGTACGGCCCTCACTCATCCGGTGGGAAGATGCACCGCAGGGTGCAGGAGTCTGCATGGTGTGCCTGCACAAACAAAAAAGCTATGTCAAACGGCGGTGGCTAATGGTACGGGTGAAGGGGGTCCAGAGAAGAATCCCTGTAGGGTTGGAAGAAGAAATCTTGTACCCAATGATCCTGGGCAGAGATTGGCCCGAAATATTCGACATCATAGCAGGGCAACAGAGGCCTAGGATCAAAAGAGAGGAGCTACTGGGCACCGAATCCAGAATACCAGACGACCTGCGGACAGGGGAAATGGGCCCAGACCGAGCAGTTCCAGGAGGCACAAGAGGCGGACCTGGAGCTCCGACCCTTTTGGGAGGTGGAAGTGCCAAGAGACAGAACGCAGGTAAGCAACCCCGTACGCGGAAAAGGTGTTCCTAGAATAGAGGTAAAAAACGGGTTGCTGTATAGAGTGAAACAAGGAAGGTTAGAAGGGGAGGAGGTAACCCAATTGATTATCCCACATGACTTCCGGGAACAGCTTCTGTGGCTGGCCCATAAGCATCCCCTTGGGGGGCATTTAGGGAAGGATAAAACGGAGGCCCAGTTGACCCGGTGGTGTTTTTGGCCCCACATTTATGAGGACGTGGAAGGATACTGCCGCACTTGTGAGATATGTCAGAGAGTAAGCACGCACAAACCTCCAAATGCACCACTGCAACCGATGCCCGTGATACGGGAACCATTTCCCCAGATAGCTTTGGACACTGATGCCCTGCCAAGCCCCGGGGTAGTGGGCCAACAATTCATCCTGGTACTGATTGACTATGCCACCCAGTTCCCGGAGGCTATTCTGCTGAGGGCAGTAACCGCCAGTAAAATAGCGGAGGAGCTGATGAACTGTGTCTCCAAGTTTGGAATTCCACGTGAGATTGTGACGGACCAAGGGTCCAATTTTATTTCCTCAGTATTAGGGGCATTATGTAAAGTACTCCAGATTCGGCATCTGAGGACAGTGGTATATCACCCACAAACTAATGGACTAGTCGAGAGGTTTAATGGAACATTAAAAGGAATGTTGAGGCGGTGTGCACAGGCGGAGCCCCGGAAATGGAGTCTGATGATTCCACCCCTCTTATTTGCAGTAAGGGATGCACCACAAGCCTCCCTGGGCTATTCGCCATTTGAACTAACGTTCGGGCATCGCCCGCGCAGCTTGTTGGACATCAGGCGGGAGGGATGGGAGACGAACCCTATGCCTGGGGAGAGGCCAGCTGAGTATGTCCGGGACCTGAGGACCTGTTTACGGGTAGCCCAGAGGATTGCACAGGCTAACTTAGGACAAGCACAAGTAAGACAGAAGGAAAATTATGATAAGAAGGCCCAGACCCGAGAGTTGAAAGTAGGGCAGAAAGTCCTAGTATTGTTACCGGACTCCCCCAGTAAGTTTCTGACATGTTGGCAGGGGCCATTCTCAGTAGTAAGGAGGGTTAGTCCAGCTGACTATGAGGTAGTACGCCCCGGGGCCAGACACGAGCGACAAATAGATCATATTAACTTACTAAAGGAATGTCATGCGCCTGAGGGGCTCCTGATCTCGCCAGATGTAGGGACAGAAGAGGTAGAGGGGCAGGCAGAGAGCGACTGGGATAATGATTGGGAGAAGGGAATGGTGCTGCTGGGGGAACAATTAGGAACCCACCAGTGCCAGCAGCTAACGGAGTTAGTGCAGGAGTTCCAAGATATCTTTTAGGAACACCCAGGGAAGGCCAAGGGCATTGAACATAAAATTATTACAAAGGAAGGGCAGATAGCCCGAGAAAAGTGGCGTCGTATTCCATTCCATAAAGGCCCACCGGGAAAAAAAGAGATAGAGAGAATGCTAGAACAGGGGATCATAACGCCCTCTCACAGCCCTTGGCGTAGCCCCATAGTACCCGTGGAGAAGCCCGATGGGAGCCTAAGACTCTGCGTGGATTTTAGAAAGCTGAATGCATTGACCCAATTCGATGCGTTCCCCATGCCTCACTTGAATGAGCTGGTAGAGCGCATCGGCCAGGCAAAGCTTATCTCAACACTCGACCTATCCAAGGGCTACTGGCAGATCCCACTACGAAGGGAGGATCAAATTAAGATGGCGTTTGGCATGCTCCGGGGACTATTCGAGTTCAAAAGAATGCCCTTTGGGCTCAATGGGGCGGCGGCCACCTTTCAAAGATTAATGAATTGGGCTCTCGCCCCCCACCAAGGGTATGCGGCAGCCTACATTGATGACACTGCTGTTTACACTGAGACGTCGGCACTACATTTGCAGGCTCTCAGAGCCGTGCTTCAGGAGCTCAGACAAATAGGTCTGACAGCCAACCCTAAAAAGTGCGCCCTGGGACAACAAGAGACTAAATACCTGGGGTTCCTGGTGGGACAAGGCCGAGTATGACCGCTAGCAGACAAAGTAGCGGCTATTAGAAACTATAAGGCTCCCGTAACCAAGAAGCACATGCGAGCTTTCCTAGGGCTAACCAGCTATCACAGACGTTTCATTCCCAAGTTCGCAGAAATTGCCAGGCCCTTGGTAGAAACGACTAAAAGTCGCAGAGCGGGAGGATTCCAACGGAATGAGGAACGGCGGAGATCATTTTCTGAGCTGAAAAGAGCCTTGTGCCAGGAGGTAATGTTGCACACTCCCAACTTTGCAATCCCGTTCACCTTACAGACGAATGCCTTGGTGAACGCCCTTGGGCCGGTGTTATCACAAGAGAGAGACGGCGTGGAACAACCCATTGCATATGCCAGCCGAAAACTGAACGACCAGGAAAAGAGGTACTCCACCATAGAAAGAGAACGCCTGGCTATTCGGTGGGGGGTGGGATATTTCCAGTATTATCTCTTGGGGCGCGAATTTAAATTGATCACGGATCACGCACCATTATGATGGCTACACACAGCAAAAACGGATAATGCACGAATTATGCGTTGGGCACTGGCTCTCCAGCCCTTCCACTTTAGTGTAACATACAAGCCAGGGAGAGCGAACTTAGTGGCGGACTTCTTGTCCAGGTGTGAAGAGGAAGGACAGGAAGCTAGTGAGAATAAGGGGAAAAGGGGAGAACAGGTTGGAAGAACGCCTAACTGCGTCTTGAGGGGCAGGAAGTGTGCAGGAGCGGACGAGCCGACGGGGCCCGAGGCGCGTGGGGCGGGAGCACTCGCAATAACAGATTGCCCACGGCCCTGGAGGGCGGGGCACTCCCTTACCAGATTCAGCTGAGGCCGGCCTGGGCGGCTTATAGCAGACGCTGGAACCCGGGAGGAGGAAGCAGAACCAGAAGAGCTGGCTCAGGAGACGGCTGCCGGCAGGAGCATGGGGCAGCGGATGCACGGCGGCGCGCGCTGCACCCGCACATTTTGGGGCAGTGGTAAGACCCCGAGGGACGGGGCGATTTGGGGCGGTAGCTCCAGAAACTAAGAGGGCAGCAAGAGAGCTGGGAGCATCTGGCACCGGCAGAGAGGGCCAAGCGGCAGGATACCCCAGTGGGCGGGGCAGGCAGACGGGATAGCCCTGCTCTAAGGCTGAGACAATGGGCGACCCCGGAAGGAAAGGGGACCCAGACAGACAGAGGGCCCTACGAAGGGAAGGAAGATTGGATTGTAGAGCGGAGAAGACGGACCCTGTTAAAAGCGAACACAGGAGTCCGAAGTCCACAGCCCTGGGCGGGAGCGATATTTGTGTTTAATTTTTGCTATTTTGTTGAGGTGACACCCCTCGGAGGGAGAGCTGGATCACTGAAGTGGCCACGCCAGCCGCGGACAGATACGGAGGCCCGGGTGAGGGTGTAGGGGTGGAGGAGCCCTCAACGGCGACGGACCCTGCGCAACTTGATGTCTCATTTTTGGACTGGCACGCATCTGACTATACACTGAACCAGAGAATCATCAAAGTCGTGGCAGGCGGGTTGGACGCGTGCAGCACCAGAGTGAGTACTCTATATTGCCAGGGAACCAGTGGAGCTTTCTTAGAGCAAAGGGGACAGACTGACACGTCCACACAGGGTCACAGGAATGAAGTCTGACTTTCCTGGACATGTTTTCGCTGGGCTGGGATAAGGCCAGGCTCCAGAACTAAGAGCAGAGATCCTGGTCTCCCCTGTGCCAAAAATCATTCAGAGATACAAGAAACCGTCTGATTAATACATAGAAAGGTTAAGCTAGACCTGGGGCATTTGGGGGGAGCACTGGGCAAGGAGCACAGGACTAGAGGGTAGCATGAAAACTAGGACTGACTGGTCAGAAGAGTAAGAATGAGCGCCAGGGAGGAATATGAGAAAAGAAAGGAAGCTGACAGGGGGTAGTGGGGAATTATGATGGAATGAGGAGCTTGTGGGGAAGGGAGATCTGCAAGAAGCTAGGAATCCAGGGATGAGAATGGGACAGACTTCTGAGTGCTTGACTTTACAACCTTACTAGAGTTGTTTTCATGTGGGGCCTTTTTGCCATGTAATTATTACCAGACACAGATGAGAAACTAAGAATTTTTTTTTATAAAATAACATAACACATGGAATGGCATCTGTTTCACACACCTTTGATTCTGCAGCTGAGAGAGGAGGATCCTCTTCTTTGGGAGCTGGTGTTGCAGGCTCATTAAGAGAAGGAGCTTCAGACTGCTGATTAGTAGCATTTGATTTCCCTTCCTCTTGCTTTACTTTCTGCTCAGGAGCATCCTTCACTGTTCCTGTGCTCCTCAGTTGCTGCTGCCCCTGTGCATGGGCTTTTGCTCTCTGCTGCAAGCTAAGTAGGTGTTGCTGGTACCAATACTGCTGCTGTTCCTACAACATGCAAAAAAAATTGAAAGTATTACAGTAACAGCCAGGCTTACCATGCCAGATTTTGGCATTGAAGAAAGCGGCCAAGCACCAAAATTTGGCAGAGGAAGCACTCTTTAGAGATGTATTTTTGCCTATTACAAAAGTGGTATGTGCTTCGCTGTCATCATCATCTCTATTGCAACAGAGGACAAAAGATCAAAAACATGGCTCAAGCATCACTATGCCAAATACTGCACAAATACTGTGGCATACTTTGAAATCTTCTGGACTGAGTGATGCTGGAGAGTTTATTCTGAATGCCCAAGACACTTATTTTCATTATATGTGGTACGGTAACTCCCTACTATTCTGTACTATTATTAAATTATTCTAGATTTCATAACCCAGTGGCAAATACTTCCTCCAAGCTGAAATTATGACAAGTCCACAAATGATTTTCATATTTTTCCACGACAGTAAATAGTAGAACACCATAATATCTATACTTTAGGGGTGCACCGATAAAGATTTTCTTGGCCAATTATTAACCAGCCATATCAGCCAATACTGATCCGATAACCAATTTACAGGAATGCAGCTGGACAGCGTAGAGAGCATCTCCCTACAGGTAAGTCTGTACAGGGGAAGGTGCATGGTGGGGGGAATCATAGAATCAATGAGTCGGAAGGGACCTAGACAGATCATCTAGTCCAACCCCCTGCCATGGGCAGGAAGGAGCACTGGGGGCGGCAGGGGTCATAAGACCCCAGCCAGGTGCCTATCCAGTCTCCTGTTGAAGATTTCCAGGGAAGGTGAGACCACCACCTCTCTGGGAAGCCTATTCCAGGCTCTGGCCACCCTTACAGTGAAGTAGTTCTTCCTAATATCTAACCTAAACCTATCCTCCCTCAGCTTGTGGCCATTGTTCCTGGTGACTCCAAGGGGGGCCCTGGTGAACAGACTTTCCCCGAGTCCCTGCTGATGGCCCCTGATAAGGTTGTAGGCAGCCACAAGATCCCCCCTCAGT